ACGGGATTTTTATTGGCGTTGAGCACAAGTCACAAGTGACGAGTAACCAGTCAATTTACAAGTTTTACTCTGTTGCTTACACGTGATTGAAAATAACATTGATCAATGCAAGAAAACGAATGCATCAATGAAATACGCAGTGAGCAATGTTGAACCAGTCAAGGGCTTTGGATCAGACGGATGGAGACGGTAAATATTGCAGTACGACGCAATATTATTGATGAGTCTTCGCGAGATTAGTATTGATCTGCGATGGCCCTAATTTGTGCACAGAATTAACCAGTTTGCAGCCGGGCTTATCTCGGAACAAATGGCATTGATCTGCGCCCCAATGGTTTAGCATTAACTGTGGAATAGAAGAAGCTCTAATGGAATTACTGAATTTACCTTTGCTTTTTCTAATTCTTTCTGCAAATATTTGTTGATATAAACGAAATCGAAGTGTTCAATAAAACGGCAGCTGTACAATATATGGGACATGTAGAAAGTGGTACGGTAGCTTTGGGATATGTACGGTTGTTTCGCGAGGGGATAACCTGGTGACCTGTACCCTTAGATCAACGCCGCTAGTACGCTCCACCCTAAACAGCCTGAAGTGAATGCTTCCTTTGACGCACTCCTGATTCATACGTCCGTGCGACACAGTCTTGAACCAGAGGAGTAAAACGCGGCCTCAAGGTGACGTATTTTCGGCGGTAATGTTGTCTAGCAACGATAATATGGAAGAAACATGAATGTTCAGCTCCATATCTGTCAATTATGCTTAGCTGATACCTTGAGTAACAGTACAAAAGTGCAATTCATTTCTCCCAGGCGGAAAACCAGGACCAACTTTGAAACTGGCAAATGTTGGTCTGAAGGACGAAAATGAGATTCTTAACCGCAAGAAACCTGAAGATATTAGTGAGTTTAATTGCAACTTTAATCCATAAAGATGCCTCTTGTGCAATTATATTATCAACGCCGCCGTTGCATTTCATATGCCTTTGTTTGTGGAAATATATTAACGGTTCCAGTCCACCTGCAATTCTGTATATAAACATAAAATATATACAAATATATAAAAACACATAATTGTAAAATGTTAGAGCCGGAAACATTGTTCAAACCTATTAATAAAACGTGAAATATCCTTTTCGCTTTATCCACTTCATGAACATCAGAAGACATATGTGAGCAGAATTGATATTGGCCATCAATTTCGGGTGCTCTCATTCAGCTGTAAACGCACATTTATATGATCATGTGAAACGAAGATGCATAAGAGTTGAAAAGAGTCATTTGAACAAAATGTTGGAAGGACAGAACGTCACTTATCAACCAGCATGTGTTAATATATTTCGTAACAGCTTGGTCTTCGCGGAGGGAAATTACCATCTAGTGCGACTGCGCGTCATTTGTTAGACTCCCATCACCACGCAGACGCACCCAAAGTGTTTCCAGTCATTGCGAGGCCTCGAAGTTCAAGGACTTTGCGATTCTTAGAAGCGATAATTATTCATCGCTTGAAACCGCAATTATGTGTTCAAAAAACATTTGTGACACAACTGTTTTTGCCGTGGTAGTGATGATATTACACTTGATACCACCCTACCATAGCATGACGTGACATGACCTTCCCCTCTCTCTAGTTCACCGCATTCACCACATCGTTTGGTCCAGTTCACCCCATATCAAATTTTCTCATCTTACCTGACCTGAACCCCTAACCAAACGCAAATCACTCGACTCACTTGTCCAACACTTGTTCAAATGACTCACTTCAACTCTTATGCATCTTCGTTTCACATGATCATATAAATGTGCGTTTACGGCTGAATAAGAGCACGCGAAATTGATGGCCAATATCAATTCTGCCCACATATGTCTTGTGATGTTGATGATATTAATAAAAGATGGTAAAAAAGGAGGTCGATTGCATGCTCACCTATTCCCCCATGGAAACGTGATTGCCTAAACAGGTCGACGATTATGTTGATAGTTACAGTGATAGCAAGCAAACCAGTCATGTGTGGTTTGCATTCATGACTGTCCATTCCATGGCGGAGAACATATGGAATATGATGACGAATCCGCCCGCGATACTTACAGTTGATAATTTGAGAAGTTACTATTATAATTATTTTGGGTATTTTGACTTTCGCTGTGTAATCACTAGTGTATGAAAAGGAATGTCTTCCACAATAGCGCAATACCACCGCATAAGCGTGAACACATTGTTTCCGTTATGTTTGGTAGAACCATGGTCTGGGTTAACCATTGCGGTGAAAAGTGAGCGTGCTCACTGAAACGTAAAGTGTTTTCTCCCGTGACCGCAGTCATGTTCAACCTCGTGAAATGGATTCGGATTAACGGTTGAACAGAAATGTTGGACTCACGTAATCTAAGGGTCGTGGGTATATTTGAACCGCGTCAGGAAATCGCAATGAAGAAACAATACTATGTGATTCTCACGCTATCCCCGCTGGTCACGGGTTTACAGCCGTGATGGTAAGATCGAATGACCGATAATAATTGTATCCAACCTCAGCACAAAGTGGAATAATGTTTTGCACATTGACCGGTGTGAACAAATATGTGGACATGTTTGGTTGCATAGATAACAAGACGAGCAACGGGCAGCACTGGAAAAATCAACTGTATGGATTACTGGATTCCCATTTCATTTGCCTGTGCGAAAAACCTGTATTTGTTTACGATTTGCATATAATTTAATATCCGCACTATAATTGTGTGCACACACGCACAGCATAAATCAAGTTCCCGCTGCAGAGACTCGACATCTCACGTTGTTTCCTTTGTAGAGCCGCGACGCGAGCAAAAGCCGGTTAAAACGGTTGAAAAATCAGGACTGCCCAAATTGGTTCAGGGTATGACAGAGATGGTTTCTCCATTATTTTCAAACCCCTCCACACAATCATTTAGGGTTCGAAGTTATTTTTCTGCATTGCCTGTCCTCCAAATGGATACCACTAATAGGCACAATTTGACAGAATATGACATCATGAAATATTGAACGAGGAGAGTGATTTTGCAATCATCATTTAGTTTAATCGGTTGTGCATTAGTGATTTTTCCTGTAGTATGCTGTTCTAGCGGTCAAACGGTAAATACGCCGTTTCCGTTGCGGTCTCCATTTCTTGGAGTCCTCTATTTCTCTCTCTCTCTCTCACTCAACTCTGAGGTTGAGCAAAATTCATGCCGTCGAACTGGTTGATGTTGCCGAACCAGAACAGATTCGGTTTCTCCGACTGAGCAGAAGTTACTCGTGACTAGTGGGTCTCATGTTTCTCCACTTAATTGCATAGCGGCGTGTGTGTGTTGTGCAAGTAGGTCATTCCTTCAATGTTTTCCATTTTCTACTCCTCGGTTAATCAATGGTCACTGTGAATATTCACATTTGGATCTCCTGTCCAAATCTATCCGGGATAACTATTTGTATGCGTTCACTTTTCAGATTGCATATGACAGTTACCACAAGCTAATGGTTGTTCACTTCATTGTTGTTCCTCGTGTCTACAGCTCCAGCTGCAAAACTCGCGTTATTCCCAACACGAAAACACCCCATGAAGGTTGCCGATAAACTGAAAGCTGTGTTGCACCAGAAGATCAGCACAGGTACGTGTCCGAACGCAGTGCTTATCAATGGTTCGTTGCTCATAACACGCAACAGTTCCGTAGTTGAATTTGCGAAAGTCGATGTTGAATTCATTTGATCCTTGAATAGTGATTGCTTTGAACTAACTATCTTTCAAACTGAAACTTCACCCACAATCCTCATTCCATCGATTAGACTATACATTTAGAAGCAGTAAGCTGGAGCTTTGCTCATAATGGAGCTCATCAGTAGTGCATCTCTACTATTCAAATAGGAATTTGAACTCCCGACCAATCGTATAGGGGGCATGTGCGGTACCACTGTGCCAACCAGCGCATACCATAGCCGAATTCATAGCCAATTCATGCTTGTTCAGGTGTTATCTTCAGTGATAGTCAGTCAGTTCATTTGGCTGGTTGACACAGTTGTAGCCAACAGACCTTTCATGCAATGCGTCCGGAGTTCGAATCCCGGCCGGGACGGTGGTTATGCACTACTGATGAGCTCCAATAAGAGCGGAGTCTAGTGCTTCCGAGTTTGAACCAATGAACTGAGCATTGTGTGTGAAATTTTAGTCCCAAGGATAGTCAGTTCCAATCCATCGATATTAATTATCACTACTCAACAAGCAACTATCAGTTAAATGCAAATAATTTGATTAATATCATTCAACGGTTTTTGATAAACAATTGTGATTGAAACCGCATTGTTGAAAATGTATACAACTGTGGAAGATGTAAAGATTCGGTTTTCAAAGTATTGGGTAAGTGGAAATTGTTGTTTGGTAGGGCGTTGTTGGCTTGATGATGACACCACCAAATTATCACCTCTGGAGACGTGCGTTTGAATTGCACCACCACCACCAGGTTTCCTTGGTGTTTGACTGGCCGTTTTCCCCTTCCCGAAACAAAATATCCATATATATATTCAATGAGGGTAAGTAAAGTTGAAAAAAGCATGTGGAACGGGTTTCATACTAAGCGCGTCTCTTAGATCCTTTCGCTAGCTTGGTTTTCTGATTTATCTATAAGAAGAATTCACGACACAAACCAACCATTTTGTATTTAAAAATAAGGTGGAACTTAAACAAAGACATATGAAAGAAAAACAATAGAATATTTTGAAAAATATTGTTCGGAGACTGTAGTTTAACACAGCTAATTTTAGGACGTTTTACTAGGAATTGATTTTCGCAGTTCTGATGCACAATAACTGAGAATCCTTCTGGAAAATCTTGGTAGTTGGCGTTACACAAAATGTTAAGTTAATGTCTCAATAAGCAGATCAATAGTTAGGTGATCGAATTATACACTTAAGTTATATCGCATACAGCAAAATCTTTTATAGAAATGTTTCTTCTCTGAGAGGTTTTGTGAGAGGTCATATATGCCCACGGATCTCGATGGAACCAAAAAACATCCCTCAGACTGCCAAATTCTGCATGCTTCATGAGATCGTTTCATGCTCAGAGCTTTGTGGGTTTCCTCCTCGTGACAATGCAAAGGCAAAAGGAAATGATCTAAAAGTCATGCCGGGTGCTGCAGTTGATATTCATCATATTGAAGATCCGGGAATTGACGATGGTGATGAGCTACTGGGTCAGCTACATTTTGAGCCAGACTCTGACACGTTATGTATTCAAGAATAGAGCTTCATTTGAGCGATGCTTCTGGTTCTTAGTTTTCAGGCAAGACAATCGGCTTTGTTTTCCGGAAGCAAGACTTATCTGTTCCATACAAATAACACGATGTATAAGAGTGAACAAGTCAGCTGTTGAAAACGGCAATTGATCTCAATCAATTTGTGAACTTGCACCAAACTATTGATCCAAAAACATTATTAGTGTAGTGTTTGACACAAAAACTGAGCGTTTAATCGATTTGTGAATTAATCGATTTGCGAATCCATCCATACAACCCGAGTGTCTCGTTGAACCCTAATGCTCCAGTGACCGTAACCGACAAACTGATTATCCATCTGCAGTAGTCTCGGGTCACTATACAGGGGTCATCGTTCCTGTCTAACCCCATAACTGAACTCATCACCGACCGCGTACTGTCAGTCAGCCAACACTCGCTCAGGATGAAAACTGAGTACAGCAGCTGTTGAGAATGAAGTTAAACAAACACCACACATACAACCGAAAGTGCTTTGTTGAGGATACCTAACATTACAATAAAATGCACACAAGGTTAGCGACCAATTTCAATCAGATAATCGTTTGACCAAAGAACAAAGTGAAAGGATCGAACGTGCCCAGGTGGATGTGGGTGGAGTCGGGCGGACGAACCATTAGTCATAGGCCATGACTGCGCAATGCAATCATGAACACCAATCTCAATGTTCCTGGCAATGAAAATGCAAGTTCCAATAAGTTGTGGGAAAGGCAATGAGTAACCTTTGAAGACGTGCAAAATTGAAGAAATATAGCCTGATTTTAAAACTTCCTGGAAAGGCGTATTCACGACCAGATTTTGATACTTTATTTTAGGTCTAAAATCCACGCTAACGTCCAAACCGTCGATTGGGGGCGTAACGATGGCGAATAACAAAGTAACTGCATTATTGACTCCGAAAACTGGTAAGTTGTGTTTTTTTTACAATTGTTCTAGTCCGAATGCTCACGGATCCTGATCAGATAGACATTTGCGCGCAAATAAGAAAAATGCACTGCCGTTTCGTTGTCTTCATAGATCAGTACAACAACAGAAGTTATTGCTCATTCGTGTGGCGAAACTAATCATCTTTGCAACGAGTTTGATGGAAGTCACCCGATTGAGGCATGCTACAAGTACCTAAAAGCTGTCCTTCCCACCCCATCTTAATTATCTTTTTCAAACGTCGGCACTAACTGTCAATGTGTATAGCTCATAGAAGCTAAGGATTACAAACTACTCATTTGATTTCTGCGTTCAGAATATTACCTCAATCTGTGAGAAAGCCCGTGAATTCGAATCACAAAAAAGTGAACACCAAATCGAAACTATAAACTTATGTTTAAACAGTCCCACAAAACACATTAGAAAAGTATGATTCAGACAATCAGATTCGCTATCTTATTCATGCTATTACGATAGTACATATATATAAATAGTTAAAAATGGGTATTTAAGAAGGAATAGACATTTTTAAATGTCTCCTTCATAATGAATTATCACGTCATCCAGTGTCTCATAACAGGTCACTTGCTGTCATACCGGCCACGGAATCTTGAATGCTTACATAAATTGCTTCTGAGCACAGACAGGCAGCGGTTTATGAAGGCGGGTGCCGATCGAGTTCACTGTGGATAGAGCGGAAAACAGCACGGGTCTGTGCCACCCCGTTTTAAGTGTTTACAGGGGTCACAATGCATCGATCGTGTTTAAGATTTGATAAGATGACATCTTCAGTGCTTGTGAGGTGACCGCTTCCCAAGGAATAAAATACCAATGAGATCGGTACTATGAGTATTGTGACCGAAATCCACTGTTGACTAGATCCACTTTATGAAATGTTCTTCCTATGATAACGCTTTTAACTAATGTCCCCACATAATCAGTATTAAACCATCGTTGTGGGCATTCCCAAGTTCTATTTTATTCTCAAAACTTCTACAATTTAGTACCGGCCAAGAATCAGGCAGGGACTGGAGTGGTTCACAAACCAGGAGTGACGAAAACGATACNGTAAGTCAAACATGACGTTTCGTATAATGAGCACTGCACGAAAGCAGCCATTCTTGATCCATTTGCTTGTCCAGTGCAATCTCATTGTGCTAACAGACAACACGCAAATGCGCGAAATCAGATACTAGAAAACCGTGTTATTATAATATATATATATATATATATAATCTGTGCCAGTCTCGTTTTTCCTCGAATATTAGGAGCAATATGAGGTGCGCAATTTACAACGTAATGAAAACTGTCAACCTAACATGAATTTGATCAATAGTTGTATTTCACAGACTTCTGGATCAAAATGATATGCTAACGCTGGAGGTTATAGGTGAACATTGAGACACAATTCTAGGACGACATGGGATTGGACATATTTGAAATGAATGTGCAATATATTTCTTCAGTGCATCCAGTCCCATTTAGGATTATCATAATAGCAAGAAACAAGGAACACGTTCACAGTAGTGGTTAAGTTCAACTGATCCCTATTTGCAGACATTCAGATGAATGTCCGATCAGAATAATCACAGGATTTCACAAACCAGAAGCACTCTACCAGGCAAAAACAATGCGAAGGCCAACGTTCATCAGTCACACTTCAGTTGTGATTTTATTTGCGCCAAGTTCTGAAAATGCAGTTAGATTCTAACCATGGTGCGAATGCTGTCTACGCTGTTGTATAGCACAAATGGTACAGTACATGAATACAGGTTATATTATAACACTAACGGTGAGCCTCATCTCGGAGGTTTGATGCACTTTGCTTTCAATTCATCAATTCCTGACGTAACCAGTACAATCGGTTGGCTCATTATAGCGGGTTTAATCCAATTAGAAATATGATATGATGGCGTCGCAACGTGCAGGTCGAGGCAAATCGGATTAGACGAGCCATGCACTCAGAGGAGGGCATTTCGTGTGATTCTAAGCCTGAAGCTCGTTTTAAGCAAAGAGTATTTCACGAGTCACCAGACCTGTTGGCGGGAAATATGACGAAGCCCCAATCGAGCTGGCGGTAGCCAGCAGTGGTCGGTGTGCTTGTGGTCAGCTAGCGGAGAGCGTCAAGGGCAAGTTTTAAAACTAGTGGGGAAATGAAATTCTCAGCTCACCCCC